GCTTCGGGACAAACTGAAAAATCAGACAAGTAAAATCAAACTAACTTGGGGAACACGGGGAGGGTGGTTCAGATGAGCACTAAAATCTTTCTTTTTTAACTTATAGGGTCCTTGTAATTTTTATTTTTTTAAAAATGGAAATATGTTGGCTGCCTGGATGTGCACTTGTGCTCCATGCTGCAGACTCACCCGTGTTTTTACAGTTACATAACAGCACGTAATGAATGAGCTAACCTATGCGAAAGGTACTGGCATTTTTCTTTTGTAAAGAGAATATTATGAGGTTTGTTAAAAAAAAAAAATAGAAGTGCCACAGAATTAGTCCTGACAAGTTTACTAAACAACAAAAACCCCTCAAACAGCAATAACAGCAAACCGCAGGAGTAAAAATCAGAATCCAAAGTTTCTGTTGTCTGAAATACCAACTTTTTTTTTTTTTTTAATATATCTTTATCGATTTCAGAGAGAGGAAAGGTGAGGGAGAGAGAGAGATAGAAACATCAATGATGAGAGAGTCATTGATTGAGCCCCAACCCGGGCATGTGCCCTGACCGGGAATCGAACCCTGATCGCCTGGATCCTAGGTCGACGCTCAACCGCTGAGCCACAGCCTGCCGGGCAGAAATACCAACTTTTAAACAAAAAAAAAATTACAGTGTATAAAGAAACAATATGACTCATCCTTAGGAAATAAAGCAATTAATAAAAAGTAATCTGGGGCAATGAATTTAGAAGACAAAAATGCACAAAAAACTAAATATCCATTTCAAAGAAATTAAGGAAACCACATTTAAATAAAGGAACACTTGATGACAATGACTCAACAAGTAGAGAATATTAATAAAGAGAAACAAAATATTTTTTTAGAGAATCAAGTGGAAATTCTTTGTAAAGTACAATAACTGAAATGCAAATGTTACTAGTAGGGGTCAAGAAAGATTTGAGATGGCCAGAGAAGAAATAAACTTGAAGGTAGCTCAATGGAAATCTCATATGACAACCAGAGAGGAAAACAATTTTTAAAAATGAACAGTGCCACCTGCAGAACAACATCAAGTGTACCAACATATTTGTAATGGGAGCTCTAGAAGCAGAAGAGACAGAAATGTGTAGAAAAAATATTTGAAGAAAGATGGCCAAAAACTCTAAATTTGCTGAAAAAAATCTACAGATCTAATGAAGATGATGCACTCAAGTAAGACAAACACAAAGATACATACCTATATACTGTTAAAATCCACAGGCAAAGCAAAAATCTTGAAACCAGCAAGAGAAAATGACTCATACAGAACAATACAATTAATAGCCGGCTTCTCATCAGAAACGACAGAGATGAGAAGCAATGAAAGGACCATACATAAAGTGCGGAAAGAAAATCTGTCAACTAAGAATTCTATGTACAGGAGAACTGTCCACAAAAGAAAGGAAAAATGAAGATAAAGACTAAAAGAACTCAGAGCTAAGACACATGCTTTACAAGAAACACTAAAGAAAGTCCTTCAGACTGAAAGGAAAAAACACCAGATAATGATGTGAATACACATAAAGACAGGAGGAGTACCAGTAACGGTGTATATGTGAGTAAATAAAAAACACATGAATATACTTTTATTCCTTCTTTTCATTAAAAAGACATAAAGGTACATTAAACAACAATTAATTTTACCATCGTGATTTTGGGAACGTAGCATATATGTTACAGATACAGCATATATCAAGGGTAGTTAGTGAATCTATATTGGAGCAAATCTGCTTTTTTCCCAGAATTAAGTTAGTATTTATTTAAACTAGATGATGGTAAGAAGCATACTGCAACCCCCATAACAGCCACTAAGAAAATAATGCAAAAGAATATAGTAAAAGAAAACCAAGAAAGGAATTTAAATGGCACACACGCACACACACACGCACACACACGCAAACAGAAGGCAGTACAAGAGGAACAAAAAAAAGACATGACACATATGAAAAAGCAAATACCAAAATCTAAATTAATGATTGCATTAAATATACATTTTTAAAAAACACTTCAATAGAAAGGCAGAGTGTCAGGCTGGATATGAAATGAAAAAGATCCAGCTGTGTGCTGTTTATCAGAGACACAATTTAGACTCAAAGAAACAAATAGGCTGAAGGTAAAACAATGGAGAATGAGCCACTGTACACACTAATAATGAGAGCTGGAGTAGCTGTATTAGACAAAATAGAGACAGTAAGACAAGAAATGTTTCCAGAGACAAAGATAAACATTTTAGTGATAAAAGGACTATTTCATTAATCAAATATGATAATTATGCAATATATGCATCTATTGAAAACATACCCAAAGACAGAACTGAGAGGAGAAGTAGACACTTAATAAAAAACAGTTGAAGACATCAATACTTATTCTCAATAAGTGAAAGGAAAACTAAAAAGAGGAGAAGGAGGAGGAAGGGCCAGGTCCCTAGGCTGGGGCTCTTTTGACCCCTAGCCTCACGCCTGCAGAGCTGGCCATCAGTGGTGTGGGTGTGACTGGCAAGTACACAGCCTACAGGGAAGAGGTGCTGGAGTTGCTGGGAAACCCTGCTAGTTACCCAGTATCTATTCAACTTGCCCCCCATCTCACCTCCAATGAGAAGCTCATACTGGCCCCCAAGTTCCACTTGCTCTACACAGTTGGCTCCCTGTTGCCTCCCAAACAGAGCAGCTCAAGCACTGAGATGCTGGGACAGACACATTCAAATTGCACTGCTTCAGGACACTTACAGGGATCGATTTTGTGGTTCTGGAAGATTATAAGCAAGGTGAAATAGATTTTCTTCTCTAAAGATCTACGCGATTTACTCCGACTTTGTCCTAAGAATCCATTCTAGTTCCAGTTAATACCTGTCAGGTGTGAACTGTTTGACCAGAACCTGAAGTTAGCCCTGGAGGTGGCAGAGAAGGCTGGAACTTTTGGACTTGGGTCATAGGCTGAAACTGCAGTCAACCCTGAATCTGCAATCAATTCCCCAAGTTATTAGAGATCCTTCAGAAGGGGTTCTGCTGTTTCCACTCTGATGGAGATCCCAGCAGCCTTGTTAGTGCACTTGAAGATACGATGATGCTTGTACTCAGAGCCGATTCTTAATACCATGCTGTCCCCTACCATAGCTACCATGGTCCTACTTCCCAACTGAGTACATATTTATTTACAAAGAAGGTAGACCCATAATTGCTGTAATAAGCATTCCTGTGATCTAAAAATAAGTAAATAAAAACTAAACAATAATTCAGCAAGAATATAGGATAGGTAGACAATAAATAGATATAACATTTGTTTATAAAACTCTACTCATTAACATTAGGACATACATTTTCAGGTGCACATGGAATACTCTTTAGGATGTGTTATATACCAGGCCATAATATAAATCTCTACAAATTAAAAAAATTATGTTCTCCAACCACAATGGAATTAATTAGAAATGAACAGAAACAATTTAGAAAATCAAATATTAGAATATTAAATAATAAATAGTCTAAAGAAGAAATCAAACAAAACTAGAATGCATTTTGAAACAAATTAAAAATACAATATATGGGGTTAGCTTAAGCAGTGCTTACAGGGAAATTCATAGTTGTAAAATATTACAAACAGAAGAGAAAGGTTTCAAATTAATAATATAAGCATCCATTTTTAGAATTAGGAAAGGAAGTGAAAACTAAAACCAAAACAAGCAGAAAAGAATAAAGATTAGAGTGAAAATCAATGAAATAGAACACAAAGACAATAGGGAAAATAATAAAAAGTTTGTTCTTTGAAAAGATCGACAAAATTGGCAAATTTTCAAGTTAACTGATTATGTACAAAAGAAAGAAGACATAAGTTACCAAAGCTGAGAAAAAAACGACACCTCGTTACTGACCCTAAGTAATACTATAAACTTTTAACCAAAATATTAGACAACTTAAGATAAAGTGAAGACATTTCTAGAAATACACCAATTATTAAACATAATTCATGAGTAAATAGGAAATCTGAATAGACCTACGGTGAGTAAAGAAACTGAATTAGTACATTAAAATGTTTGCCAAAGAAAATTTGAGGCCCAAATGACTTTACTAGTGAATACAATAAAATATTTTTGGAAAAATAAAAAGTGCTTCACAAACTCAGATAATAGAGAAGAATGGTACATTTTCCAATTCAGTATATGAGGATGCTATTATCCTGATACCAAAACCAGACAAAGCACAAGAAGAGAAACTAG